GTCTCGCTACTTCCGGGTATTCATAATGTTATACTGTTATCTTGGTTTATCCTCTAACCTATAACTTTCGTTGGGTAACCTTTTCCACCTCATATAATAAACACATGATTACTAGGAGTTATTTCTGTCTTTTAAAAGAAGGTTAATTTCTCAGCTGAATATAGAAGCTGTTGAAGTCGCCTAACGTGGTGATGAAACATACAGCAAAGAAGACAGTTCAAAGGTTAAAGAATACCGATCAGTTGCTCCACACACGGAGATGGTTAGCCCACACACACATACACACATATATGCTTTAATTTGTCAAATACTTCACAGTAGTATGGACTAAATTGCAATTATATGCATCATCATAGAACAGAGTACAGAATGGCAGTCAACTCGATCTCAACTTCATCGACTTTGAACAGGCCTTTGACAGCCTCAACCAACAAGTAATTTCGCAACTGCTTCAACACTATGGAGTACTACAAACTTTTATCAACCTCATTCAACAAGTGTATGAAGACGCCACATATCAAGAAATTCACAATGGGAAGCTCAGTGATGCTTTTGAGGTGAAGTGAAGACCGCAGTAAAACAAGGCTGTCTACTATCACCCATGATCTTCCTCGTTGTGATCGACTGGATCATGCAGCAAACTATGAGGGGCGAGAAGAGGGAGATACGCTGGACCGGAGAAAACATCCTAAAAGATTTGGATTTCGCCAATGATGATTTATGTCTCATATCTTATCGAACAAACTCGAAGATCTACAGGTGAAAACTAACAGGTTGACAGAAGAGGTAGGTCAGCGAAGACGGGACTTCAAGTTAACGTAGAGAAGACAGAGGTGATGAAGATACTCAACCAACGCCACCACCGCCAACAACAAGCACCAATCACCATCAAAGGGAGAAACTTAAAGGAAGTAGCCTCATTCACCTACCCACCTAGGTAGCACCGTTTCAACTACGGGCATTCATTGACATGAAATCAGTGTGGAGATCTTCTGCACTGCACTCAGTATAAAGCGTGAACAACATCCGGATTTTGAACATTATTTCAGTCAACTAAGTGCCTGTATATAGTTGAGGGACTTGGCGAGTTACGAAAGGCATTTCCAACAAACTACAGATATTCATCAACAACTGTCTACACCTACTCGATACTGAAGCTCAGATGGCCTGAAAGAAAGAAAGAAAGAAAGAATAAGCAACAAGGAACTCGACCTAGCAACGAACCAACCAACAACCTATCGCTCAACAAATATGCAAAAGAAGGTGGAGATGGATTGCGCATGCACTCAGAAGACCATTCGAGGACGTCAAGCGCCAGGCACTCAAGTGGAATCCAAACGGGAAACGATGTATTGGGCTAGGATGTCTTTGGGTGGCATGGAGGAGATCGTGTGAAGAAGAAATAAGAGCTTGTGAGCAGTCGTGGAGTGAGGTCCAAAAGATTGCACAGAACAGAGTGGAATGGAGACATGCTACTGAAGTTCTATATTCCACTAGGAACCCAAGTGACAAATAATAATAGTGATATTGAAACGATTAGAAAGCATTAGGAAACTTAGTCGACCGACACTTTCTTCAATCAAGAGATTAGAAGATCCGGTCATCAGCTTAATGGCTATTATTTGACAACCTTGAGGTACATTGGCATAGAGAGGCTAACCAGAATGCAGTAATCTAAATGAGATCTAATTTCTAAGATGAGAAGTAGCTTTGTATCACTAACAGTTTACTGGAAACCAGTTTAGACCAACCTATCAGTTTATCGAAGTTTGCCTGAAATGTATACTAACAAGGATCAATCCATACAACTATCTGACGGTAAGGCTGGTAGGTTCTATTAGGATAGAGAATTGAAGAGAACGTTCTCTCATAGTTATGCATGTAGTTACACACAACCACACAGTAAGATCCAATCCAGTGCTGGAGTGCAGCAGGAATTGCTAGCCCACATCACAAGCAAAGGGTGACATAATTATAGCTTACAAGATCATCTATCCGGGGATTAACGTAAACAAACTAAGTTTGCCTTTAACATAGAGGTTAACTAAGAGCGGATACTATCAAAACAGAACATCAGAAAGTCAACATCAGGCTTAGGTTTAACTTTTTCTCCTCTAAAGTATGTGCCCTACCATAGGCTGTAGCCTCAGACCCCAAAGCAAACTTACTTGAAAGAAAGACGTTTAGACAGTTATTCTAATCCGTACAGAGAATACCACTGACCTTACTAGCTCATCACTATTTTCTCCCTATTCACCACTTACCCTCTTCTCTAGTAATTGGACTCATTTTTATTTACTTTCACTCCTTTAGGAACACTTTATATACCTTTCCCCACCATCCTGCTTTTCCCATTCGCGCAAGTATATAGACAAAAATCATGAAAGATAGTTAATCCTTCCAGTTACTCGTTGCTTCCTACAAGTTGCAAATACCTATACATGAAAAACACTCATCTTGCCAGAGCTCTAAGCAGAGAAGCAGAAGAGATTTCTTTGATCACTACAATAACAACCAAGCAACAAGAATGAGGCACCAAGAAGTGAACAGTTTCCTATGTCTTGACTATTTCCAGTAGATTACATTAGTGGCCCCATCAAGAAAATAATTTTAGACAACATGCGTATATCGGGGAAACTAGTACCATAGCAGAAGTTAAGTGGACGCTTGATGACAAATTCAGAGTCCACCGTTGGTAAAGGCAACCATATGGTTGCCCAACAAGATAAGATTGCATACCGTCCTGGTTTTAGAACGCCTAGATGTGTATTCATTTGTATCCTGAAAACCAATGTATAAATATCCGTTCAAATGATGGATACGAATCATGCTGTGAATGCAGACGTAAACAGGTAGTTTATCTGGTCCGAGAAGTGGCTGATGCCTATCAACGCAGATGAATGTGTGAATATGCCAGTGAAGCACAAAGACGGCAACACCTACGATATTGATGGAACTCCTCTAACGTCAGTACTGACACACAATGATATAGGAGTCATAGTGAATTATGTAATGGAAACCACGCCACATTCTCGAACGGTGGTTGCTCGACGTTGTAGGATAGTCCTCGTATTATGCAGAATATTTGAAAAATAAGCGATGATACGCTCACCGAGAAGTAATTTGGCATCTGCTTCAACACTACAGAGTACCACAAACCCTCACCAACCTCATTCAACAGCTACATGATGATGATGCTACATGCCAAGTGATTCACAATGGAAAGCTCAGTGATATCTTTGAAGTGAAGACGGAGGTAAGACAAGGTTGCCGCCTACCATCATCCATGATCTTCACGATTATAGTCGACTAGACTGGATTGTATCATGTAGCAAACAACTGTGAGGAGAAAGAAGAGGGCCGTACGCTGTTTGACTGATGAAAACAATCTAGAACATTTGCATTTCGCCCGATGATGATTGACGTCTAATGTTTTGTCTCGCAAACTCGAAGATGCACAGGCAAAAACTAACAAGTTGAGAGAAGAGGCAGCGAAGGAAGACGCGACTTCCTTCAGCTGAATGTAGACAAGACACAGGTGACGAACATAACCAACTAACAACAACAACAACATGCAGGAATCACCATGAAAGGGGGAGGAATGTAAAAGAAGTTGCCTCTTTTACCCACTTACCTACCTACCTACCTACATAGGCAGCATCATTTCAACTACAGGCGGCGACACAGACAAAGATGAGCATGTCAAAGCCAGGAACGGAAAAACAAGGAAACTCAGACCTTCATTAATATGAAATCAGTATAGAGATATACTGCACTGCACTCAACAGGTGGAACAACATCCGGATTTTCAACACCAACGTCAGTCAAGTCAGTGATCGCTCCCATGTGACGCTTGAGAGACTCGACGCGTTATGAAAGGCATCTCCAACAAACTATAGACATACATCATCAACAGTTGCCACCTACACTCACTCGATACTGAAGATGGAGATCAGATGGCGAGAAAGAATAAGTAAGGAGGAACTGTAGCTGGCTGGCAACCAAACAACCAAGAATCTATCATCCAACAGATATGCAGTCGAAGGGAGTGGGGATGGATTGGATTGGATATACACTGAGGAGACCACTTGAGTGAATCACGCGTCATGCCCAGCGATGCCGTCGAGTGAAACTGAATAGGAAACGGCGAGTTGGGTTTTCCAGTTCAACATAGAGGGGATCCTGTGAGGAAGAATCGAAAGCTTCTGTGCAGATGTGGAGCCAGGTTTCAATTTCTGCAGAGTAGAGAGTGATATGGAGACGTGTGACTGAAACCCTATGTTCCATCAGAAACCCAAGAGGCAAATAACAATAATAACAAATATTCATCAACTTGTATATATCCTTATTCAGGTCTTGATTAAAAAAACTGTACGTAAGCGGCAAATTTTTGTCCGAAATATGACTCAGACCTTCTGGAAGGAGTTTATAGGGCAGCAACTCGAATGATCCCTAAGACTGTTTGCCTGACCGATGAAGATTGACTTGAGGAGCTAAACCTCTTCAATTTGTCCCATCTCAGACAGAGAGAAGATCTAATGATGCTGTACAGGACTCTAAAAAGTGACTCCGGACCTGATTTGTTATCTCTTTTCTTTCCCACTAGGTCAGAACACTTCACAGTACATACTAGGAGAATACAAAAGCAAAAAAGGAACATAGTCTCCGCGTCGAGTAATCAACTCCTGGAAGCGGCTCACAGAAGAAGTGGTGTCCGCATTAACAGTGGACTCGCTTAAATGATGGCTGGACAAGCGCAGAAATCTGCTGGAAAAGGATTAATGTGGGCTCATATCCCTCTTCACCTAAACAACCAATCTCAACCTAATAGTTATGACCATAAGTAACACGCTCACATAGCTTATTTTAACGCTAATCTCTTCATTTCTGTAGTATTTTTCAAGTATCAAGTTAGGCAGTTGTTAGTTTACAGATGAAGATTAATGAAAAACTTCATGTAAAATCAAGCATGTACTTATTTTATGAATATAATAACTTACTTTGACTTGACTTTGAAGATTTGAGGACTATTCTGATATACAATATTTCTGAATGAAAAGGTATTGTCGTTGTAGGGATTAGTACGAAAGTTAGCAGAGCTCTGTCTAGGTAATTCTTTAGACTTATACATGTTGTTCAGACCTAAATTTCCATTAGGAAGCCTTTTAGTAGAGATAATGGTCTCCCATTGTCTTGGCAGACCTACATATTCACCTGTGCTCGAATTATAATTCACATGAGTAGAATGCTGAAGATTATTTGGAGGTGTTATGTCAAGTCTAGACAGCTTCATTTGTATATTAAGAAATTTTGGTCGTGGGATAATGTTCATATAAGCTGAAATATTTCATTTTCAATGTTTTCAACTAGTGCGCTACTTTTGTTATTTACACTTATGAAACCAACAAACAAAAGTGATTTCAACGTTTCCTAATACCCTACATCAATAAAGCAAGTTAAAGGAACTAGTAGTTTCTGAACTATCACGGTTAATTTTGGAGAATTAGTTTCTTCTCTCTGGTTATACCTCTTCTTTGACTGTAGAAGTCTTTTCAGTTGACCCGTTTATTGACTTGTAGATACTGATTATCTGTTTCTGATATCTAATATCTCCTTACCAGCTAGTGTAAACACTAATTGATTTCTTCGTGTTCGCTTATAGGTCTTGCGGAATGGTTCCAGACCAGGGATAAAGATAACAGACAAGCAGAATAAGATGTGTTACATTCCTCCAAAAACGACTCTGAGAATATCCTTCATAAGATGAATCCGAGAGAAAAATCAAATGATGAATTTTAGTTTATTGTAGTAGTTCCACTTAGCTTACCTAGGTCTAACTGAGGTGTCTCGAACTTTAGGAAGATATGGAATGGTAGCATTCCATCGGATAATCAACACGCTTAGAAATGCTTTGGTCCACTTGAAAGATTAAATTCCGTCTCACCTTTATGCAGAGTTGTATCTACAGGTTGGGCTGTGTTGATTATGATGTCTACTATTATACTAAGGAAACATCCATCCCACGAGATCCGTATTTATGCTAAAGAATATGCAAGTACTGTCAAACGACCACCAAATTTCACATTATACTGAACCTTAATCCACCTACTAGACAAAATGAAGGGCTGAACTATCCTACCACCAAGTTGGGTAATACATTCAAAATGTTGTGGTTTTACAAAAATTGTCAATATGAACCATTGGAATTCGACCCATTTAGAGTAACGTGCTGACTGTGGAACCTGAAGGTACTGGGTTCGAGCCCCGGGGGCGAAGTCCTGTGGTGTGTACTGCTGGGAAGTTCCATGCGAGGACAGAACAGCTGTCTAGTCCTCACAAATTTTCAGTGTTCCTCTGATTAATTTTAATTAGTGATGAATATCAACTTTGCACGTTGCAAATAATCACCGCAGCAGAAGTACATACCTACACAAAACAAACCAAATTTGCCATCTATCGCATTTTTCTCAAATATTCACACTGTCACCTTGACCCCCAGTCAATAACGGATAACCATGACATGGTGGTGTTACAACGTATTCGATCATGGTTTGGCTGCATTGAGTTAGCAGGTCGTGTCAGCCTAGTCCATACCACAGCTGGCTGAGCGCAAGCCGTGCGTCACTGCGTAACTGCCAAACCTCTTCGTGAAGCACACGGAGAAGTAGCAATCTCACTAGGCAATGCGCTCCAGTCGCCACAAACTCGCAGAGAGAATAAGAGCGAATGGACACGGGTTTTCGCCTTCTGGTGGGCAGTTCCCCTTGGGTTACCACGAGGATCACCACAGCGGCCACTCGGCAGGCTTCCACTGTTCGGAAGGCTTGGGCTACTCAGCATTTTGTAAGCCGTTATCAAGTCACCACGCGATCTGGGGTAGCTCAGAGAGTAGAGCACTAGATCTTTCAGCCTGTCCTCACAAGAATGTCACCTCATTCCCACGACACGCTTCGTAGCTCGCCGTTAAACTTTCCCCAGAAAGCTAACATATCCTCTCAGAAGTGGCGGTGCAGTGACGTTGTGGACCTCCAAGTGAGGTCGTTTGTAGGTCCTGTACAGCTTCAAAGAGAGTTCCGGGGTAAGAGCACCCAGTTGTCTGCTCATGAAGCGCAGCGCTGCGTAGGCTCTGGGTGGCGCCCCCTGGATAACTGGAGCTAGTGTCCATCTCGTCAGTCAGCACTGGTCCTAGGTGTGGGAAATCTGTGTTCCACAGAGAGAAGAGGGTACCTTCTGAGAGTCTGGGGCGCGAAGAAACTTTGTCCGCACTAATCCAGATTGAACGCTAGCCCGTTAATATCCGCCCACTTTGCAATAACCTGAGATCATTCTTCAGTGCGCTTGATTCTGTTTCGGATGGCACAGCTCTCCATAACTTAATGTCATCAGCGCAGAGTGGAGTTGGGGAGCTGAGATCCAGTGGGAGGTCGTTCGCAAAATGAAGGAATAGCATCGGATCCTGGATCGCTTCTTGTGATCCACCAGATGATGATTTCTTGCAAGTCGAACAAACTCTGTTGGCTTTTGCGTATAATTATCTGCCGTCTGTCTAAATACTCCGGTAGCCAGGAGAGCACTTTTCCCTTGATGCCTAACCTTCCTATTTTGTGAATAAGAACGGTGTGTGGAACTGTGTCGAAGGCCTTAGCAAAATCCAGGAAAATAAGATGGGCAGGAATTCGGAGATCACAACATGCCATCCACCTATCACTGGCTGCCAGAACGTTTGAGGCACAGGACCTGTCCTTTCTGAAACCATGTTGAGCAACACTTAGTGCTCCATTCTTTTCCAAGTACTCCTTGACATGGTCGCCTACCAGGCTCTCCATTATTTCTGAGACCACTGGTAGAAGGGCCATGGGTCGATAGGATTTTGGGTTCCTCCTGTCTCCTTCTTTGGAGATGCGGCACAGAGTAGCACGTTTCCACTCTAGTGGAAGCATGTGATTATCCAGAAAATTCTGAAACAGATTAGGCGGCGTGATGTACGAGGCACCCGCGGATATCAGTGCATCCTGGTGATTCCCGCGTGCGGAGCTTTGATGGCTTTTCGACGACCTTAGCAGGAGTTACATTTATTCCAGGTAACCCCACTGCATTTGTTGGTGCTGAATGTTGATCAGGCAGTTGGCTATTTTTGTCAGATGGAGACGTGTACAGTTGCGTATCGAGGATGGCGCTGATGACTTCGGCAATCTCTAGTCCAGAGAGGTTCTCTACGTTCATTCCTTTCAGAAAGGAAGGCCTCTGGCTGGTATCAATCGATATAGGTTTCTGGGGTTCATCCCGAACTTTTGGGCAAGCTTTCTCCGTAACGACCACCTGTCTCCTCTCACTTTGATGTGACATCGATTTCCTCTGGCCCTACACGCGGTGAAGTCAGACCCTTTTCTGGAGGTCCTCCACTTACGCCATGCTTTCCTCTTGCCTTTCAAAAGGCGTTCAGTGCCTCGCTTCAGCCATGAGGTTCGCCTCCTCTTATTCGTGTGATTACTAGGACCTTCTCACAGACAGCCCTCTCGATGATATCTCTGACTAGCTCCCAACGTTGGTTAAACGACAGGTTGCTCCACTCTTGAGGCCGTGGTGCTGCCGACAGATATTGGCTCATCGCCACGTAGTAGAGACAAAGGGGTCCATCCAATGAATACTAGGCTGAACACCACAGCGCCGTGATCGCCGCTGAACGTTTTCAGCCAGCAGGTGGTCGCTGATAAACAGGTAGTCCAGTCTGGATGGTTTCGCCCTGCCCCCGGGCGGGCGTCGTCGCCAATATTTTCATGCAGTTCAGCATTTTTGACAGTTTTAGGTGGGTTTTTGTCGAACCTTCGGCCTGAGGTTTCCCTGTCCTGCACAAGATAGACAGTTGGAGGATTAAGGTCACCGGCTACAATGACCTGGTCATATCCCACGGACGTCGCTTCAGACATTACTTGGAGTAGTTATCGGTTATGTTCCACGTCTCTAGTAGGAGTTCTGTAAGCGCCTCCCACCAGGTACTTAGCGTGTCCAACCTTGAAGCGATACCAGGTGGAGTCTGGGAACAATAAAAGCAGGGTTTCAGTTGCTCGTTCACTTTTAAGATCGTCGCTTATAAACATTGCCGCTTCACCTCCTCCCTTAAACTCTCTGCCCCTCCTTAACAGACACATGCCATGTACGAGTTTCGATGACATTGATTTTCAGTGATAACCAAGGTTCTGCTAGGATTATGATCTTTGGAGCAAGGCAGAAAAGGGGAGGCTGTAATTCCCCCATCCAACTCCAAAGTCCCTTCACATTACCGTAAAGACACTTGGATTACGACATGGGGTGTCTTGGTGGTGGCAGACTGAAGGGGGTTGGCGCGGCGGTGAAACTGGCTACGGGACAACTGGCCCCAGTGGAAGTAGCCCAGTCACGTCTCTTCCCGCAGTGGTTTCTGAGGGTTTTGTGGAGTCTAGGCAATTTTGGATATCTTGTCTGTTGACAGTGATGGTGACTTCAGCACTAGGCGAGGCTGTCGTCTGCTGTTGTCGCAGTATCCTAGGCCCGCTTCCGCGGCAGCGAACGTTCCTGCTGATGTTGTATTTTACTGCAGACCAAGTTTTCGATACTTTAGTTGGAGGTGATTGACAGTCGAAGTCAATGGCCATGAACCGCGTGATGTTATCGTCGTCAAATGTAAGGGACGTGGCAGTCTACGAACCGCCGCCGCCATCCGATTCAACCCTACCCTCGCTGATAACCACCGCAATGCTGGACGCCGTGAGCGCGCTTCTCTGCTGACGTGCCGGTTGTTAGTTCCGTATGCCGTGAACAACCATAGTAGTTGGTTTCAGCGTGCGGAAAAGAGACACCTGTCTCGCCGGTCATGCACGGTCTGGTACGGCCCTAATGCCGGACGACTGGTTGATGACTGGTGTATCTGGCGGCAACAAGAACATTTCCGCCTTCTTAGCCAATCTCATGGTCATTCTAATAGATGGGGGGTTTCTGCGAGGTGGGTAGTTGCTACTGTAGAGCCAAAACACCTTTGCTCCTAAGCTGCCAGGTCCTACTATGGCTCATGCCGTTCGCCACTTCTGTTTGTCAAATGATTCCCTGCCCTCAAGAGGGCTATCATGGCACATGGGGACGTTAAATAGGGTGATGGAATTCGATCTGTCATCAGCTTCTCTATTTTCGTGTACTGTGGGTGGTTTTTTGCGGAAGGGTGCTCCCTCTTTTCCACTGTCACCCACTTTTCCCGTTGTACAGTGAGGTTAGCCTCTAAAGTGGCTTCAGGGTTACGGATGAATGTGGTTGGTAACTTACCCGGTCGTCGTTTTGGTCTTTTTGGACTATTCGCCGGTG